TCAAAATCTCAAACTCGGGGTCATGGGTTGCAACACTCCCAAGCCACATAATGAATACTATGACCTCCATCTTTTTTATCTCAAATGAAGCTTCTACAACATTTCTCCAAATTATACAACACACTTTTTGGAATCAAAGTATGTGTAATTAAGAAATTTGCCATAGTTAAGTATGAGCTTTTGATGAGAGTTATTTTACCTCCCAAAGAAATAGACTTCTTACCCCAAACATTAAGTCTTTCCATAGCATTGACTAGAAGGTCTTGAAAATCTGCCGCCTTCAATTTAGTAAGAGAAATTTTAATCCCAAAGTAGTGTAATTCCTTAACCACTTTGAAACCAAAAACTTTGGTAAGCTTATTCTTCACTTGGCGGTTAACATTCTTACCAAAAATAATTTGTGATTTATTGATGTTGACACTTTGCCCTGTCCATTTGCAAAACTCTTCAACAATCTTCTTAAGATTCTTAGCTAACCATTTTGAAGCTTGGGAGAAGATAAGAACATCATCTGCATACATGAGGTGGGAAATTCTCGGACCTCTTGGAGAGATTTGAATACCAATATCACCTTCCTTTTTCCTTAAGGAGTTGGATAACAATTGAGAGCACATGATATACAAATAAGGAGAGACTGGGCATCCTTGTCTAAAACCGCTACAAGCTTTCATCCACTTTGAATATTTTCCATTAATAATAATGGAAAATCTTACATTCACCACACATTCCAAAATAAGAGAAGAATAAATAGAGGGGAAGCCATACCAACAAAGAATTTGCTTAAGAGCTGGCCATCCCATGTTGTCATAAGCCTGCTCCATATCCAATTTCAGTGCCATTAATCCTTTCTGTGCTTAGAAATTTTGAATTTGTGGAAGATCTCTTGAGGAAGAAGGCAATGTTCCGAGATAGATCTACCTGGGATGAAGGCTACTTGTTCTTCAGTAATCAGCTTGGGAATTATTTTCTTCAGCCTGTTAACTATCATAGTAGCTGCAACCTTGTAATTAGTCTGACAGAGACTAATTAGCCTATAGTTGGAAGGAAGTAAAGGGTTCTTCACCTTAGCAATCAATACAATTAAAGTGTCTTTCCAATCCTCCCTCATGTGTCCAGAAATCAGAAAATGGTTAATGGAATTCCAAAGCTCTTTCCAAACGATTTCCCAATAGCATTTGTAAAAAGAAGATGTGAGACCATCCATACCTGGAGATTTATTGTTCCCTTTTTGAAAAACCGAGTGCTGAAGTTCATTGACCGAGAATTCTGCACTAATATCTTCAATATCATCTGCTGACAGCTTTTGATTTTCACTGATTTCGGGCCAACCTACAAGCTTACTGTTTCTGGATTGCCACTTAGATTCAAAATAGTCAATGATGACCTTCTCAATTTCATCATCATCTACTTGAAGCTTATTATGAATATCTTTGATTTGATTAACTCTATTACTATTTCTTCTTGAAGTAGCAAAACTGTGGAACATTCTTGAATTTTCGTCTCCTTCCTCTTGCCATCTCGCTTTTGCTCGTTGGTTCCACCAAGTTGATAGTCTCTTCAAAGTAACATTAAGAGCATGAATTTTTCTCCTAAGTATAATAAGATCTTGATCAGACCAATCAATTCCCATAGCTTCTTTATGCTGAAGATCCAAAATCTCCTTTTTAAGATCATTTTTAAGTAAATTCAAGTTTTTACACTTGTTTTTACTCCAATAGAACAAGGCTTTCAACGTTCTAGAAATAATCCTTTGAAGCACCATTCCTTCATCACCATAATCATTTTTCTTCCAAGTATGATACACGATACTTTTAGCTGCAGGATAAGATCTCCAAGTGTCCTCAAATCTAATGATTTTAGGTTTGCTATGAACCTTATCATCCATTTTGAAAGCAATAGGGATGTGATCCGAGGCCACTCTTGCGAGGTGATTTATCACAGCAGTAGGAAGCTTTTGAAGGGCAGCCGTATTCACAATACATCTATCAAGCCTCTCCCAAATTCTAGAAGCACCATCTTTGTTATTGCACCAAGTGAATCTTGGTCCAACAAAACCCTCATCATGAAAGTTATAGTTTGTCATAAACATCTTCATATCTTTTGGTCCCTTGGAGAAAAGAAATATCTTACCTCCTCTCTTTTCTTCTTTGTTCAATATATAATTGAAATCCCCACCAATGATAGATGGGATAGAATCATCCATATGATTCCCAAGATGACTCCATAGAGATTCTCTGTCTTTACAGCATCTACTTCCATAAACCGTTACAACTTTCCAAATTCCCAAATTAGGAATAGAAAGATCACCAACAATCATTTGGGGAGATGAATCATTAACTGTAAAATTTACAATCTTCATGTTCCAAAGCACAAGTAAACCGCCTGAAATACCTTCAGCCGGGAAATGGAAAAATTCCCAATCTTTTCCTATGAAACAATCTATATCCTTCCTTTCCATACAACTCACCTTCGTTTCCATGAGCCGAATGAAAACTATGTCTTGATCTCTAACCATCTCTTTCAAATACAGAGCGGCCTCTTTTTTCCTAGCCCCTCTGCAATTCCAAAAAACTAACGAATACATTAAATTTTAGGGGGGTCTACCCCACTTCTGCAACTCAATCTTCCATCTCTATTTTTCTTCTTCATATCTGAATCCATCGGACCTAAGGATTTTAATTCCTTTGCAAGTTTAGTTTTATAAGGCCCATTCGAACAAGCTGTTGTAATTTTCATCCGCATATCTAAAGAACTAGAATTCAGGTCCTTGATTTGTGAATCACATTTGGCATTTGGAAATCCCATCATTTCCATTTGATCTTCATCGTTCAGCACGTCAAACTAGTTATTAATAATGATATCTGCATTCTTGTGATTAGTATTATTTATCTCTATTTTTGATGTCCATTATCCACAATCTTCTCCATTCTATCTGAATTCGCCTTATCATTTATGTCCTGATGCTGGATGTTATTCAAGCAATCCGCACCTCCTATGTTTTCAGGTTTTCTTCTGTTATTGTCTTCCTTAGCTTTACCATCTACTCCTTTGATAAATTTCCTGTTTTTGAAATGGACATGTATCCATGGACCATATTCTGATTTATTTATCACTTCTATATTCTCATTCTCTGCTTTTTGAAACATATCTTCAGTATTCTCTGTTTTCTTCTCCACCTGATTTTTGATCTCGTGAACAACCTTAAGTGGGCATTCCTTTACATCATGTCCCACACAACCACATTGATAACAAATAGAATGGATTTTCTCATATTCAACACGCTGAAAAAATCTACCCGTTGTTCCTTCTATCCATACTCCATTTGGCAGTTTCTTCTCCAGATCGATCTTTACGCAAATTCGGGCAAATTCTCGCTTCCCCCATCTAAAAGTATTCCCGTCCAAGTACATTGGCGTACCAAAAAGAGAGGCAATCCTTGACAAATTGTCTTCATCCCAGCAGTACAGTGGAAGACAAGGGAATCTGATCCAAATAGGAGCAGAAATTCCTTTGAAAGAGTAAGGATCAAAAGCCGGAGACCACCTATCCATACCAACAATGCTTCCATTGACATACCATGGTCCTCCATTTAAAATCTCTTCTACCACTTCATTGTTTTGGAAAGAGCAAAGAATCCAATTCATGCCAATTGTAGTCATATGGAATCCACCAAACTTTTTCCATTGTCTTCTCAGTTCCACGCTACATACAGAGAATGGTATATTGTTACCAAGAACCTTGATATCAATAGAGTGCTTCAGAACATCAGAATTCTTAGATTCCTGCACCGGATTTAGCTTAACAGCGATTCCATCCTCAGATAATTCAACTTTTTCTAAATCAAACATAATCTTGATATGCTTCGGTTTCGTCCAGGCTCCTTCAATCCTACTGTTGTTACTTTGTTCATTGTCTTCCAGTAATCTGTTCTCCAAAGTTTCTTTAATTAATTCATCTTTTCCACCTGCATTCCTTTCTCCATTACCCTCATGATTTTTCAAATTTTCTTCATCTGCAATGTCAATAGGGACTTGACTATCTCTGATCGAGCTAGAAAATCCTTTAACCTTCAAAATCGGTTCATCCGTCTCCAAAGGACCAAGAAAATCCGAGTTTGTTGTACCAACATTCCCAAAAGCAATTGGATTATACTGAACATCAGAGCTATCTTTCAAGATATTCTTACCTTTACCTTCAACCAAGGCCGGACGAATCTGCAAATTCGCCCCCCCTCTTTGATTACCACACCGATCCTTCCTTTGCTACCACTGCGAAGACTAGCAGAGTGCCGCTGGACCTCCATTTCATCGGCACGAAACACCGATGAACTCCCGGCGGCGACGCTCTCAGCCGCGAGCAAGAAGCGGGGGAGAACAAAATTTGAATTCTCTCTCTAGAAAAAAACCAGACGTTCTCTCTCTAGAAAATCTTTTTTTTTTTTAAGTTAGTGGATTTCATTACAATTACAATAAGTTCAAATTAACAAATTACATTTTAATAAGGTCCGTTTTATTGTTAAAAAAAGGACCATTTAGTTCTTTTTACTAGTCTGTATTAGGCTATCTACTTTTTATTCTAATGCAATTTATGCATTTTCTCAAAAAAAGAAAAAAGAAAAAAAATACAAATGAGTATTAATAATATGATTACAAATGTGAAAGAAGTACATATTTCAAATGTTTTATCTTCAAGCATATTAAGATTAAGTTTTGATTCAAATTGTTTTTCTTCTTGTTAGATTATGTTGAAATATCTTTTCAGTAAAAAAAATTAGAATCAAACTCTTAGTTCAATGTTAAAGTTTGTTCGTCTAATGGGCATAAGATCCTTCGTAGAACATAAAAATGAGCAGGTATTTATAAAATTTTAATTATTTAAGTTACATAACTATTAACTTTGTAAGGCATTTTTTGTTATAGTGTAAAAATTAAGCCAAATAGAATTATACAATGAAGTGTTTACAAATAGAGAAAGAAAGTAGTCTTTAAAAATTGTGAGGAAAAATACGTTAGTTTAAATTAAATTTATTAGAATATTATTATTAGAATTGTGTCACTATTTTGGTGTTAATTTTATTTAAAACGTAAGGGAAATTATAATGGAAATATACTATAAAATTATTAAAGAGGGCGGAACAGTTGTTGAGTAAATCATTCTTCCTAAAGCTCTATGGGAAACATCATTATATGTTAGTGGAATTTTTTTTTTTAAAACCCACAAAGGGGCCTACGCGTTCAAATTAAAAGCATGTTACCAAGACCTTAGGGAGAAAATCAGCTCGTTATGCTCGATAGAGCACAAAACAAATCAAAATAAAACCTAAGAGCCAATTTTCTCCATTACCAAAACATACAAGAATACCAAGTAACATGCTACTGATGTTGTAGGCAAGCATCCAAAAAAGACGAAAAAAATGATTAAAGTTAAGCCCCTTCCATCTGACAAAAGTCTGAGAAGCCTTGAAATACAGCCTCACCTTCAAAATTTTAAATCTACAAAGAGACGAGCTACATAAACCAATAATATTAGAAACAAAAGGATAATAATAAAGATAAATTAAAAAGATAAGAGCCAAAAGATCAAAATTTTCCATGTTAAGCTGGTTATAAGATTCAGATTATTAGAGCTCAGAATATTCACATAGAATCTAGCTTCATTAATAAAGTCCACAAGCCACTCAATCCTACAAGGGGGGCAAGCCTATTTAACCACAGAAAACAAGCTCCAGCTATCCCTCCAAATAGAAATAGCAAAAGACAAGCTGCCATTAGTCCCTACACAGAACAGCGGAGTAGAGCACCGCATCCAGACAAGCTAGAACGTTCACCACAAATCACAA